CTTTCCCCCTCTCGGATTTTCCGGATGTTTGAAAACCCGGTAGCCCAGGAGCAGGAGGCCGGAGGCAGGAGCTGATCCGCGGAGGAATGCGAGAGCCTCCCGGGCCCGAGCGGTGAGCAGGGTCTGCGAGCCGGGCGACGCCGGAGCGCGGCCGGCGCCGGTCCAGGAACTCTGGTTCCCGGGCGAGCCGCTTCTCGTCCGGAGCGTCGCTCCAGTGGAAAGTCTTGCGCTGCGAGGGCTGGTTTCTGGAGTCACTGGACTTTTAATCTGGGAGTGGGAAGAGGGAGGACCCCCACCCCCCACCCCGGCCACACTCCGGGGCCGCTGAGAAGCAGGAAGAAAGGGGTGGCCAGGACAGGCTGGTGCGCCGTTGCTGTTGGAGGCTCCATCACCCTCCAGGGACCACCCTGGGTTGTGGCAGGCAGCCCCCCTCCCCCATTTCTACAGCCCGGCCCAGCCATGGCCCTGAAAGGCCGAGCGCTCTATGACTTCCGCAGCGAGAACAAGGAGGAGATCAGCATTCAGCAGAACGAGGACCTGGTCATCTTCAGCGAGGTCTCACTGGACGGCTGGCTGCAGGGTCAGAATAGCCGCGGGGAGACCGGGCTCTTCCCGGCCTCCTACGTGGAGATCCTCGGACCCACCACAGCTGGGCCCAACGATGCCCACTCCTCAGGCAGCCCCTCGGACTCCCCGGGCACGCAGGTGAGCCTGTACGCCAGCTCCAGTGTGGCCTGCGCAGTCAGGAGTGGCGAGGGCAGTGGCTCCCTCTCCCACCCGGGCAGCTTCGAGGAGGATGATGATGACGACTGGGATGATTGGGACGATGGCTCCACGGTGGTGGACGAGCCGCAGGCCTGTGCACTGGGCACCAACGGGCACCCCCCGCTCAACCTCTCCTACCCAGGCGCCTACCCCAGCCAGCACATGGCCTTCCGGCCCAAGCCCCCCCTGGAGCGGCAGGATAGCCTGGCATTGGCCAAGCGAGGCAGCGTGATGGGGCGCAACCTCAACCGTTTCTCCTGCTTCGTCCGCTCTGGCGTGGAGGCCTTTATCCTGGGCGACGTCCCCATGATGACCAAGGTCATTGAGACATATGCCATTGAAATGGGGCCTCTTGGCCCCCAGTGGAAGGCCAACCCCCACCCCTTTGCCTGCACGGTGGAGGACCCCACCAAACAGACCAAATTCAAGGGCATCAAAAGCTACATCTCCTACAAGCTCACCCCCAGCCACGCAGGCTCCCCTGTCTACCGGCGCTACAAACACTTCGATTGGCTCTACAACCGCCTGCTGCACAAGTTCACGGTCATCTCGGTGCCCCACCTGCCTGAGAAGCAGGCCACTGGCCGCTTTGAGGAGGACTTCATCGAGAAGCGGAAGCGGCGGCTCATCCTCTGGATGGACCACATGACCAGCCACCCGGTGCTCTCCCAGTACGAGGGCTTCCAGCATTTCCTCAGCTGCCTGGACAACAGGCAGTGGAAGATGGGCAAGCGCCGGGCGGAGAGGGACGAGATGGTGGGAGCCAGCTTCCTGCTGACCTTCCAGATCCCCACGGAGCACCAGGACCTACAGGACGTGGAGGACCGTGTGGACACCTTCAAGGCCTTCAGCAAGAAGATGGACGACAGTGTCCTGCAGCTCAGCACCGTGGCGTCTGAGCTGGTGCGGAAGCATGTGGGGGGCTTCCGCAAGGAATTCCAGAAGCTGGGCAGCGCCTTCCTGGCCATCAGCCACTCCTTCCGGATGGACCCTCCCTTCGGCTCCGAGGCCCTCAACAGCGCCATCTCTCACACGGGCCGGACCTACGAGGCCGTCGGCGAGATGTTCGCCGAGCAGCCCAAGAACGACCTCTTTCAGATGCTGGACATGCTCTCTCTCTACCAGGGCCTCCTCTCCAACTTCCCGGACATCATCCACCTGCAGAAAGGTAAGACCCGGCGCAGGCAGGAGACTCTGCTGGGCCCCAGGGCCCCTGGGGTGTCCCAGGCAGGAAAGACCAGCTCATCTCCTCTGTCTTATTCACTCAACAAATGTCTTGAGCACCTACTGTGTGCCAGGTGGGTGCAAGGAGATTGAGGTAGACGGGCCTGGCCCCGGTTCCTGTGGAGCTCACTATTTCCAGCCTCGTGGACTCTTGGTTCATTCATTTATTTCACTACCAGGCATTGAGCCTCTTCAAGAAATCTGCTAACACAGGATGGATCAGGTCTCAGGCCTCATCTCAGGGGAGCCCCCGGGTTCATGGTGACACACACAGACCCTGATAACAGGAACACAGAGTGCCTGCCAGCCCCCCTCCCGCCTGTCCCTCCCCCGTTTGCAGTGTCAGAGCCTGTTTCCATCCCCCACCTATCTCCAGAGCACCCTGTCTGTGCGTGCGTTTGTGCATGCGTGTGTGTGCATTTGTGCATTCGTGCAGGAGGGTTCCTGCCTCGGTTTGCAGACCAAGAAGCTGGTGTCCAGGGAAGGGAGTTTGTAGCTCAAGCTGGGCCTGGCCCTTCCTCCCTCCACCTCCCCAAGGACACGTCTGTGTTGGCTCATTCCCAAGCCCAGTTTTTGGTTCTTGTGTCCCTCCTCTGCAGGGGAGGGCAGGGTGGGCCCCTGCCTGTGACCGCTGGGGCTGTTAAGGAGCTGCCAGGGAAATGACTCACCGCAGGTCAAACAGGGGCACGGGGCTGGGTCAGGGGAGTGGAACCAGGGGGCCAGGACACTGCCCACAAAACCCCATCCCACTCTGCCAGTGGAAGCCTGCTTCTGCACCTCCCCAGCCTCCCTCCCCTCCGCCGCCTGCCCAAGAAGTGAGTCAGGGGCCCGGGCCTGGCAGGTGGCTGAGCATGGGGACAGTATTGAGGGCAGATGTCAGGAGAGAGGTGTGGCCCTCCCTGGGGCTGCAGAGTAACTGGAATAATGCCTGCTGGGTGTGGACCCCCACTCCCTGAGCCCCAGGCCCTGAGGTCAGACCTGGCTTTGGTGGGTAGTTTCATTCTGGGTGGGACCGGAGGCAGGTCTCTTGGACAAATGTGCCCCCCCACCCTCAGCACGCAGGAGAGTCTGGGGCAGTGGTTCTCAACCTTCCTAATGCCGTGACCCTTTAATACAGTTGCTCATGTTGTAGTGACCCCCCCAACCATAAAATTATTTTCATTGCTACTTCCTAGCTGTAACTTTGCTACTGTTATGAATTGGGTGACCCTTGTGAAAGGGTTGTTCAACCCCCAAAGGAGTCACGACCCACAGGTTGAGAACTGCTGGTTTGGAGCAAGCCAATCTGCCTTCCCACTCCTGCCTTCCTCCCTTCCCTTCCCTCCCCTCCCCTCCCCTCCCCTCCCCTCCCCTTCCTTTCCTCCTCTTCCTCCTTTCTCTGCCCCGCTTTCTATCACCCACCTCCTCCTCCTCCTCCCCTCTCCCCTCAGCTCCAGGAGACACAGCCCGGTTTGGCTCCGTCGCGTTTGCTCAGCATTCCCAGGAAGTGTCTTCTCAACCACTCTGCCCCACCTCCCTGGCCTTAGTTTCCAGTGGAAATTAGGGCAGTGGGCTCAGGGAGGGGAAGGGATCGGCTCCTGGGGAGGGTCTGGCCAGGACTAGCATGATGGCCGAGAGCTGGCTCTGAGCTTCAGGGAAAGGCTGGGACAGGAGAGAAGGCAGGGGCTGATGGGTGTGGGGGTGGGGGGTGGCACTGGGGCAGGTGTGTCCTGGGGCGGAAGTGGAGCCACGTGCACTGGGCTGGCAAAGCTGGTTTAACCAGCTCCCTGGAAGGCCTGCTCCGGTGTGGGCAGTGAGAGGCAGGGGCATTCAACAGCTTCCCCAAGCAGAGGTGTTGTTCCCTGACCTACCTTCCCTCACCCCCTCCTTATCAAGCCAAGCCCTCTGGGGTTCTGCATGCTGCACTCCCAGGCTTGTGGCCTGGGGTAAGTGGAGACCCCCGTAGCCTGTCTGGGGGGTCCCATATTGGCTCTGTGGGTGGAACCCTTCTCCAGAGGAAGGAGCAGGGTCGGTAACCCCTGGGTTCCAGGAGTCTGGTAGGAGACCCAGGCAGGGAGTTGGGCCACTAGGATTTGGGTAGAGGAGGCTTCTGAAGTCAGCTATTTCTTCCCCTCAGTCACCCCATTAGTAAAATAGGATACAGCAGCTACTTGGGGTGAGAAGGCCAACCAATTGGAACCCTGCCCACCAGCCCAGCCCATGAAGCTTAGTCAGTGGGGTAGGAGTATGGGGGGTGTCTCCGGATCCATGTAATTAACTGTGTATACCGGGGCAGTTTTGAGTATAGGGGAACCCTGGTAATTATCTGAGGGCAACAAGGGGAACCAGGTCTGTCCAGGCAAGCCAGGACCTGTGGTCCCTGGTGGGAGAGGCAGCAAGGGCAGGGCTTGGCCTCCAACCTAGGTCTCTTTCCAAGTCAGGGAGATCCTGGGGTGGGGGAGCAGCCCTTTCTCCGGTACACTGGGGTGTGCAGACCCCAGGAGCCGGAGCTGGAGTCCAGGGGTGCCTGACCTCACAGTCCCGTCCGCTTCCCCCGAGCCAGGTGGTAGGCACGGGCTCCCCAGGAAGAGATGGGCAGGAGAAGGTGGAGGGACCACAGGGCACCCCTGGAGGGGCTGGGAAGCCCAAAGGCTGGTGGCCAAGGAAAGGGAACAGACAAGGGGGACGAGACCTTGCCTGGGGGTCAGGTGGATACAGCCAACCCGTCCCCTCCATATCTGAGCTCATCTAACCCCCATTCCTTCCCCTTCCACAGACAAAAAACCCCAAAAACAGTACTCTCACTGTGAGCCCCCCTCAGCTGGCCTGTGCTGCCAGCCACAGACAGTGCCACAGTGTGTACACAGTGCCACACGCCATCCTGAGCTCTCATTCCATGCCAGTTGTGCTCTTAAGCACTTTATACATCTTCGCTGACTTACACTGTTTTAGAACAACCACACTGCCTCTGATATGGTTCCATCGCAGGGTGACCCTTGTAGGACAAACGGCAACTGCTGCATGAGCTTTCCCAAGCTGCAGATCTTTCCGGAAGGAGAACAGCCTTTCTTGTCTCCCTCAGCGCAGCTGGTGTGTTCGAACAGCCAACCTTTCGGTGAGCCAGCCCATCGCTTCCCCCGCTGTGCCACCAGGGCTCCTTTTGAATGCAGCCTTAGGGCAGGTGGTCTGACCCCAGCAGACCGAGGTGGAGACGCTGAGGCAGTCCACCGTCCTGGTGGTGAGCAATTGTCAGCAGCATGGGGCCGTTGGACAGCTGGGAGCGTTGAGACGCAGCCAGAGCGGTGGTTTGCAGGAGGTGCCACAGCTGGGGCTGTCTCCTAGGAGCCACCAACCTTGCTTGGGTGCTGACTGTACCTGCTGGAGGTGGGGGCCAGGTGAACTGAGGGGATATACCTGGGGCCCTGGGCCTGGGCATCCAGTTGTCCGTCCCCGTTCCTGGGGCCCGGCCTGCAGCATTGGAGTCTGTTCCCATGCTCTGACTCCATCCTAAGAGGCAAGTAGGGGGGAGGCTCTACAGGTCTGAGCTCTGGGGATCCTCCTTCCCTGACCTTTAGCCCAAAGGGTAGGACACATCAGCTGCCTAGCTCCCCCAAGGTCTCGCCCCTCCCAACTCCCCCTCCCTCCCCTCTCGCTTGGTGTTTGGCCTTCTCTTCACCCGCCAGGCCACATGCAGGAGAAACCGCCAGGCCACATGCAGGAGAAACCGGGTGACTGCAGGTCCACCCCACCCCTCCCACCCCGCTGCACCCAGACTTTGTCAGGCAGGTGGAATCCAGGCCAGTCCCGGGTCCCCTTTCAGGTAGGTCCCTCTTGGTGAAACCGAACCCCAGCTCCTTTGTCATGCTGCTTTCCACCCTGCTCCTTCTGGTCCTTCCTGCCCCCTCCTCCGCCCTGGGGACTTTTGTGAATGTTTGAGTCCATTGTGTGAGGCCTGAAGGAGGGACTCCTTTATAGCAAAAGTGGGGCCCCTCTCCCAGCGGTGGAGGGATTCTTCTGGACCAGGTAGCCCCCACTGGTGGGGCAAGATGGAGGTTGGAAGCCCCCAGGCAACTCCCTGCCCCACCTCCCCAGGGCCCCATTTTCCTTATAATCGTGGGGTGGGGCTTTGACAATGGTCTTTGATTGAGACTTTATCCCAGGTCTTAGGCACTGGACTTTGGGTGATTCCCCTTCTGCACCCAGGGATGGGCAGTGGGGATGGAGCAGGGTCAAGGAGGTGGTCCAGCGGAGGCAGAGGGAGGATTGAGTCTGTTTGGGCTGGGGACTGCAGGGTGCTTTGGGGTCTGTGTGAGCAGCCTCCAAGACTCCAGAGCTCCTTCAAAGTGGGAGTGTTGGCTCTTCAGCCTTGCACTTGCCAGTTGCCATGGGAGCTGCCACGGGGAGGGTGTCCGTGGGACCCTTTGCGGGGAGACAAGGCCCTCTCACCAGAGCCCTTGGAGGGTGGAGGAGAGAAGCCCTGGAACTGGGCCTTGGAGGATTGAACTTACCACTGGTGAGTACCGCAGGTAGGGAGGAGATGAGGCTCATTGTGCTGGTGAGGAGCTGTCATCTTGGGGATGGCCTTTCGGTAGGGTCATAGGGAGAGTAGGGCCGATGTTACCTCAAATGACCTCCCTCATCTGTGGGGACCATGCAGGCAACTGGGGAAGCGCATGCTTTCTGAATCCTCCATCCCGGCTCAGGCGGTCCCTCAAGCATCCTTCCTGTCTCTCCGCCTCCTGGCAGGGCCCACAATGGCCGGCCCCTGAACTGCCCACTCGGCCCAGCTGTGCTGGGGCTCATCCCGTCACCTGGAACACCTCGGTCTTTCTTTTCCTCCTCCCCCAGGAAGCCCTCCAGAGGGCTCTCTTTCTCCTTTCTCAGCTCCTGTCTTGGTGCTGAGCTTCCCTGGCTCTGGCTCTTGAGCTCCACAGGGGCTGGGGGCAGACTAGCCGTGCCCAGGGTTATACTTGGTAGCTGGTGGGGAAGTGCGTGCCTAGCCTTGGGCCGGGAGTGTGAGTGGCCCTGGGGGAGGCCCAGCCGGCGGTGCCTCCAGGAGCGCTGTCTCTGTGGTGGATGAGAAAGGTTGACCCAGAAGGGCCTGTGAGAGATTGGAATGTAGTCACTGCTCAGTCACACTGGCCCAGATTGGGGTGCCTCTCCTCTCCACGCTTCTCCAGGCCGGACAGCCCTCCTCCTGGGATTGTGGGATGGCTTGAGTGCGAGCAGGGAGGCAGGGATACACAATGGCCTGGAGTTCACACTCTTTGTAGGACCCATCATCGTCATCATCATCCCTGTAGAAATGATCAACCTCAAACCACCCAAGGAAATGGGGTGAGTTCAAAGCAGGCAGACCCACACGCCCCTCCCATACCAGCCAGAGCCCTTTAGGAGGTTGAAGAGGAGCAGGTGGAGTACCAGGAGCCCCCTCTCTGCTGGCACTGCCACTCCCGGCTCCCTGGCTGCTGCGGGGTGCGGAAGAGAGTACCTGCTGTAGTTTTGTGAGGAGCCAGGTACCAGGCCAAGACCTCCTGGGCACTGCCTGCCTCTATTCCTGGTGAGAAACTGAGGCCAGACAGGACAGGTTACTGGCTCAAGGTCATGGTGAGGCCAGGGTTTGAGGCAGGCTCTGCCTGGACCCAGGGCCTGCGTTCTTCCCATAGCCTGCCCTGCTGCTTAGCTGGTGGCTAGATCCCAGGCAGCCACACCAGGGCATCCGTTTACATCTGGGAGGAGACTGCCGCCGGCTAAGACTGAGTCCCAGGCTAAGACTGAGTCCCAGCGTGTAGAGTCTGGGGCCTGGCACCCTGAAAGCGCTCCATCAACGCATCTCAGACAGCTTGAGTAAGGGTGACTGTATGCTGACAGGGAAGCCCTCCGAGAGCCCTCCTTCGGGGGCATGGGGACAAGCATGGGGATGAGGGTGCTGTCTGCGGTCCAGTAGGCACTTTTGAAGCACTTGGAGGTCCACCCCTCGGCCAGACCCTTCCTACAGCCTCAGTGACTGAGAGTCCATCCCCACAGCTCCCACCCCCACTCCAGGGGTAAGTCTCAGCCCGGGCAGACCTCGCCCCTTCCCAGCACCTGCCCTGGCCAACTGCAGGCCAGCATTGCTTCAGGCAATTCTGACTCAGACCTGCCCCCCAGGTTTCCAAGGGTGTCACCCTACCAGAATCACTGCCTCTACTAGGCTTTCTTTTTTAAATCTATTGGGGGCTCGTACAACTCTTATCACAATCTACATATCCATCCATTGTGTCAAGCACATCTATACATATGTTGTTATCATCATTCTTAAAACATTTGCTTTCTACTTGAGCCCTTGGTATCAGCTCCTCATTTTTTCCCCTCCCTGCCCCCCTCCCTCATGAACCCTTGACAATTTATAAATTATTATTTTGTCATGTTTTACACTGTCTCACGTCTCCCTTTATCCAGTTTTCTGTTGTCTGTCCCCCAGGGAGGGGATTATATGAAGATCCTTGTAATCAGTTCCCCCTTTCTACCTCACCTTCCCTCTACCTTCCCGGTATCGCCACTCTCACCACTG